GAGCTAGTGAGTGTGGTGGGACCAATTCAAGAACTGGTTTCAGGCCCGACAGTGTGGCTCAGTGGTTGAGCAACAACCCCTGAATCAGGAGGTCACGGTTCATTGCTGGTCGGGGCACATGCCAGGGTTACAGGCTCCATCCCCAGTGTGGGGAATGCAGGAGGCAGCCAATGATTCTCTCTCATCATTGATGTTTCTATCTCTTTCCCCTTCTCTCTTCATCTCCGAAATCAGTTTTAAAAAGTACATTAAAACATACACACAAAAGAACTGGTTTCAGATACAGGAGGTTCAACTATGTTCAGAGAGATCTCTGCCCAACATTCAAGTGAAGGCCAAGGCTTAATGGATGTTGACAGTTACCTCCAATGTTTTCCTGGGTGAGGCTAGTATGACTGCCAAGATCTTGTAAGCTTCTCTTTGGGGGGCTGCTGGTTTTCCAGTCTGATATTAAAGCAACTGGACTTGGGAATCTAGTCCCTCTCCATCAAGTGACCAAATCTTATTGATTCAGAAATTCCCTCCTCCTTTCCCCCCAAAAGGGTAAAAAAGACCATGGATGAGGAAAACTAACCCACAGAGTATTTATTTACGGTATTACTACCTCTTTGATGACATGATAAGGGCTAGTTAGTAGAGACTTTTTAAATGAGAGTAGGGTAAAAGACGGGATATTAGGAGAGGTACATTTCTCAGAAAGTAGTTCCACGGAGTATGCTTAAAAATCATGGGCACGTAGCAATGCAAATGGGGACATACTGAATCACAAATTAGGGGATGCGTGAGCAATATTCTGGGTGGAAGTTGAATGTGGAGGGTGTGTGTGAAGGGGAAGAGAGAGAGATTAATTTAATTCCATTTGCTGATGTGACTAGAGCACAACTATTTTTAGGTATAATCCAAATAGTGCATATCTTCTCCATTTTGATTAGTAGCAAATTGGCAGGAAGTCAAAAGAATTAGTATTTCTCAGCACATTATGCCAGAGACGAACAAATAAAACGAAGTGATCTGTGCCAATGTGTTGAATTTGAATTTCTGCTAAGGTTTTTATTTATTTTTCCCTTCCAAAAAAATGAATGGGTTCAGCTTTGTTAAAAAAAAAATATTTTTTAAACCTTTCTCAAATGGCAGCAAAAGTGAATAGAATGCTTTCCCTTTAGACCTTTGGTTAGAAGCTCTTGCTAAAAAAAACAAAACAAAACAAAACAAAACCCCACCACCTTAAATGTTAATATCATCTTGATACTTTGGGTGCAGAATTTCCGCCTGGCAATATTACATGCTGCCAGAGGAAGTCGGCACATTCAACAAAATTAAAATAAGCTAGGAAAATGTGCTTGACAGGGAAAGGTTTCACAACAGCCACTTAGAAGTTATTAATAATTCCAGTTCCAATGAAAGCTTGGGCTGAAAAAAGCAAACTCTCTTCTCAAAGTTCTATGCAGGCAAGCTCACCAAGGGATGAAGCTGTCTGTGATACCAATGATGCATTTCAACGTCGGAGGGAGAACTTATAGACGCTGGAATAACCTTGTTACACATTAGAGAACGTTATAGTGTGCAAACGAAACATCATTTCCAAGGTAGCCATTCAATGAATCACAGTGAAGTTCACTGTTTTTAGTGTTAATACCTTCAGCACTTTGTTACACACAGACCTATGGCTGAGATGGATTTTTCTGCATGTCCACTGCCCTCCCCCTGTCAATTCTGCTGCGCATTTTTTTTTTTAACCAGATTAAATGGGATTGGCAATTTCTTTTTCCCATGGCTTTAGTTATTGGGATGGGCAGCTCAGTTGCCCACATTCTTACTATAAACTGATGTCTGCCTCTTTAAAAAACAACAACAAAAAGTAGTTTTATGGGCGGCTGGAAATCACTGGCACAGTATGTTTTTGAATCCTCCTAATTCCTCAGTTAGCGAACTCGTGAAATACAGAAAAATCTTTTTCTATTTTCTACTAATAAATGCAAACTGGTCCCCCGATTATAGTGGTTTCTTGTCGTTTACAAAAGAGCTCATAGCTGTCTACTAGATAAAGATAGATATCTTGTTGTTAAAGCTTAAGGGGCTTTTCATCATTTTAAGACCTGACGTCTGATGTATGATTTGGGCTGGGAAAATGTCTTTTTATTTAAATGTAAGGACAATCTATGCAAAGGAAGTAGATACTAAGGAAAAGGAGAAAGTGAAGCATTAGCCTGGCAATCCAGTATTCTTCAGATGAAACTCTAGACATTTAATCTATTAATTGTGCGGTATAATTTAAAATAAAGAGGAACAAAACCCCTAACAAAAAGCATCTTACATACTCATGATGGGGGAAGGAAGGGTAAACATGACGGCATTTAGTACCTGGGGAAGGAGTGAGATCTCCTTCTGAAATTGGTTCTGCATCCTCCAAAATAACTTTCTTTAAATATTTATCTTTGCCTTTTTAAAGAAGTTTTGCCCTTCTTCACCCCCCCTTTACTTATTTATTTTTTTCTCGAGGAAGGAGTTAAACATATAACAGCTTGAATTGAAATGCTACTGCTCACGCAGCCTTCTGCTGGTCTCTATAATCATCCACATCACGGACGTTTCTCAGAAGGCTGTCTCCTGGTCTTCAGACCACCCCCCTGCAGACAGGACACCAGAACCGGCTTCCCTTAGCGCAGAACAGTTTGCTCGTGTTAAAGCTCAGGACGAGCCCAAACTGCCTACCCTTCACTTTGCTCTCTGTACTGCACGATCCTGAAAGGAAGCCCTGGTTTAAAAATGCAAAGAATACATCCTCGAATCAACCGATTCCGGAGAAGGTCCAATTCATCCCAGGATCCAACTTTCCCTCTACGCTCCTTAGGAACTAATTTCATGAAAACTATCCTATCCATTGGCTGTCATCCTCTTGTTAGGAAGTTTTAAAACTTCCCATCTGCTTTCACCTGGGACCGGCCCACCCAGAACATGTGGTCTCTTTAACCACCCAAGGGAAAAGAATATTTACTCCAAAGCTCTCGCATGCATTTTTGTTTGACCACCAGAACACGCTGCATTCTAAGCGGCCCTTGGAGAAACGTGTGCACACGGATCATCTGTGGGCCGTGACTTTTCTCCTGGAAAACAAAGTCATGGAAGCCACTTACCGGATTCCGAGCAGGCGGTGTGTGTGTTCAATGAGTTAGTCTTCTTTCCTGCTGCTCCGGGCCAAGTTGCAGCTGAGTTACCTGGCTCCATCACTCTTCTTTAGAAGGCACACAATCCCAAATGTTACTCCTTAAGTCAGGTGCAGCCATGGGCTCTTGCAAACAACCTACACACTGTCTAGCATCCCTTCAAGCCGGCTGTGAAAATTGAGGGCGAGACTGCAGCTCTCGGTGGTAGGTGCGTGCCTTCTGTGGGGTGCGGGCATTTTGCTAGGTTATGGAGTCGTGAAAAGCTATGAAAAGAACTCCCTGGGAAAAACCTCTCTTTTGCACAACACAAACCGTCTCTCGATGGTCACGGACCCCTCACGGACACACGGCAAGGAGCCATCCTGGTGCTTCATCGGTATTTATTGCACATGGACCAATCCCTCACACAGTAGTTAGTTGCACCAGAGTATAAATACTTGGTAAAACACACAGAGGAGATAGAGTTTATACAGAAAGTGCTCAATGTTACAAGCGGATTCACGTGGGCACTGGGACATAAAAAAATAATAATAAAAATCCTCAAGGTATTTATATATTTATACTATGGATACAGTTACAGTACCATGATAAAAGTATAAAATGGTATTTCCCAAGGTATCATTAGCTCCATAAAATCATAGCCAACAGAAGTAGAGTTTGAACTGTAGTTTAGCTTTTAAGATTTGCCCTCCCTCCCCGTTAAAAAAAATATTCAATTTCTTTTTGTGCAAGTAACGCCTCTGTGGACTTTTACAATTTCTAACACTGTGCAAAAATGGCATTTTGAACCACTCCTTTTTTTTGTTTTTTGTTTTTTTGTTTGTTTGTTTTTACCCACATGTGCAGTAATCTGAATTATTTCCTCTCTCTCTCTCTCTTTTTTTTTTTGTCTTTTCTTTTTCTGTCCTGTCTTCCATGGACAGAGTCACATGTCATAGAGGCTCAGTGCCTGGTCCTTCCAACGCATATTGATACATAAATAAGCTGTTTAATATAAACAAGTCTTCCTAGCGGCTGTGCAATGTGCACAGAGTGAGGTAGAAACCCCTCAGCCCGGCCCCTTTGGGCGTGGGGACAGCAGGCTCGCCCTGCTCAGGGGAAGCAAGGTGCGGCGCGTTCCAGGAATAGCTTACACTTTCTTTCTTTCTTTTTTGAAACGCACTTTTGGCATCCACCCTTTCCCTTTGCTTCCCGAACAGGAGAAATCATTCCTCGGGAATTAAACTGAAATTTCTCTGGAAAGACAGCTGACACACTGCCATCCTTCCCCCCCCCCCCCCCCCCCTCTCCCGGGTGGACGGCTCCCTTTCCAGGCAGGGGGATGGAAGCCAGGCTGATCCACAACACTGCATACCCTCATGCTTCTTCCTTCCCTGCCCTGCTTCCTCCATCCCTGAAGACAGTGTCACCTGGGGGGGGAATATCTCAAGAGGCATCGCACAAGCAGGGAAAAGAACCCGAGAGAAAGGAGCCAGCCGCGCTCCCACCTCTCCCCAAACTTCCCTTTCTGTGCACCGGCCCGTGACGCTTCCGTGGGTTGTTTGTTTTGGATGCTTCGGAGGAGGTCTGCGGGATCCGCGTCCACCTGCCACAGGTCTTGCGTAAACACACATCTCTTTCCCCCTGGGAGCCATCCGGAGGCGCCGGGGCTTTCTCCATCCCGGGCCCGGGCTCTCTCCATCCCGGCGCCCCGGCTTTCTCCATCCCGGCGCCCCGGCTTTCTCCATCCCGGGCCCCGGCTCTCTCCATCCCGGCGCGCAGAGCCCGCGCGTCCCGGCGGGGAGACGGGGAGACGGGGAGACGGGGAGACGGGGAGACGGGGCGGCGGGCCGGGCCCTACACCCTGGACTCCGAGGTGCAGCCAGGGCTGGGGCTCGGGCTGGGGCTCGGGCTCGGCTCGTCCAGGCTCGAGTCGCTGTCCGCCGCCGCCCCGCCGCCGCCGTTGCAGCCGGCCCAGGGCTCCAGCAGCCGCGCGGGCGGCCCGGCCCCGACGCCGCCGTCGTCCTCGTCCTCGTCGTCGTCGGAGGCGGCCCCGGGCGGCGCGGGCCCGGCCACGGCCAGGCAGCCCGGCGAGGCGCGCGCGCGGCGGTCGCGGTCACGGTCGCGGTCGCGGTCGCGGGGGCCGGCGGGGCGGCGGCGGCGGCGGCGGGCGGTGCAGCACAGCAGGTGCTGGAAGGCGCTGCGGAAGTCGGGGCTGCGGCAGTAGATGATGGGGTTGAAGGCCGAGTTGGCGTAGCCCAGCCAGTTGAAGAAGACGAACAGGCCGTCGGGCACCAGGTCGGCGTGGAAGGCCTTCACCACGTTGGCCAGGAAGAAGGGCAGCCAGCACAGCGTGAACACGCCCATGATGATGCCCAGCGTCTTGAGCGCCTTCTGCTCGCGCAGGGCCACGAGGCGCGAGGGCCGCCGCTTGCTGGGCCGCCCGGGCTCCGGCGGCGGGGCCGGCGGGGCCGGAGGGGCCCCCGCGGACGGTGCGGGCGAGGCCGGCCGCGCGGGGCCACTGCTGCCGCCCAGGAAGCGGCGCTCGCAGCTGTCGATCTTCTTCACCTGCTTCTGGGCCTCGCGGAACACGCGCAGGTACACGAACGCCATGATGCACAGAGGCACGTAGAAGGACACCACGGACGAGGCGATGGCGTAGGCCCGGTTGGTGACGAAGTCGCAGCACTTGGGGTCGTCGTAGCAGCGGCGCGCATCGGCGCCCTCGGCCCGCCACCAGTGCATGAGGATGGGCAGGAAGGACACCAGCGCCGAGATGGCCCACACGGCGCACACGAGGGCCCGCGCCCGCGCCCGGGTCAGCAGGCTGCGGTAGCGGAAGGGCGCGGTGATGGCGAGGTAGCGGTCCAGGGCGATGACGCACAGGGTCTCGATGCTGGCCGTCACGCACAGCACGTCCAGCGAGGTCCACAGCTCGCAGAAGAAGGAGCCGTACTCCCAGCGGCCCCACACCACCAGCGTGGCCCCGAACGGCACCACCAGCAGCCCCATGACCAGGTCGGCGCTGGCCAGGGAGATGATGAAGAGGTTGGTGAGCGTCTGCAGCCGCGGCGTCCTGGCGATGGCCGCGATCACCAGCACGTTGCCCGCCACGATGAGCAGCACGATGAGCGCCATGAGCAGGCCCATGCCGGCCGTCCACTGCTGCGACAGCGGCGCGGGGCCGCCCTCCTCGCCGGCCGCCGGCGGCAGCAGCGACGCGGGCGGCGACGCGGGCACCAGCAGCCGGGCCGCGCCGCCGCCGTCGGGGAGCGGAGACGCGGCGGAGGACGACAGGTTGCAGGGCTCCGGGGCGCCCAGGGCGAGCGCCCCCGCGCCCATGCCGAGCTGCGGAGCAGGAGGAGGAGGAGGAGGCCGGGGCCGGGGGGTGTGGCGGCGGGGCGGCTGGGCCGTGTTGTTTGGGGGACACCCCAGAGGTCGGGGCGGCTGGGCCCGCGCGGGGAGGGAGGTCGCGGCCGGGTCAGGGCAGCCGCGGCGCGGAGCCGGAGGCATGGGCGCCGCCGGGCGCCTTCCCCGCCGGAGGAGCCGCGCGCTGTCTCCGCCGCCGCCGCCGCCGCCTCCGCTGCTGCTGGAGCCGCTGCTGGAGCCGCTGCTGCAACAGCCGCCGGGACCTCAGCATGTTTCTGAGCGCGCCGAGCCCGCAGCCCGGCACCCAGCACCCACCCCACCCCGCTCCCACTCCCCCGGGCCGGCCTCCGGGGCCCGCGTCAGGCGCCTGCAGCCAATCCGGGCAAAGGCACGCCCCCAGGTCTCTCTCCCACCATCCCCCCCTTCCCTACCCCCGCCCCAGCTCCCCGCATTCTCCTCCTCGCACCCACAGCCCAGAGCTCCGGGAGTCCGCGGCGGATCCCCCAGCCAGCGTCTCCCGTGCCCGCGGTGCTGTGAGCGCACCCCTCTCTGCACCCGCCGGCTCCGGCCTCCGGCCCCCCAGCTCCCCGCGGCGTCCGGCTCCCACCCGCGCCCCCGCCGGCTCCCGAGGCCCCCTCTCTCCTGCGCCCCGTTCCCTGCGGCGCTGCCTTGGCCTCCCGCGCTCAGCTCCCGCCTGCGCCCCCGCGCCCGGGCTCCCCGTCTACCTCCGGCGCCCGGATTTCCAGCCCGGGAGCTGGGGAGGGGGCCTCGGGTTCTCCCAGCACCGGAGAGCTGGGGCAGCCTGGCCGGGGGGATGGGGGGGAGAGAAGGCGGGTTGGAGGAGTGGTGAGAGGTTGGTCCTCAGGTCGGGCAGCCTAGCAGAGTGAGTGGGGAAAACCCTCTCCCCTTCTAGCGGGGACTCAGGCAGCCCGCGCCGGCCAGCTCCGGGGATGGGAAGCGGGTGTCCGCGATCAGAGGAAACTTTGCAGCCGAGCGAGCGAGCGCCGGGCTGAAGCCAGCCGCGCGTCTGTCCGTCTGACCGTCTGTCCGTCTGTCCGGAAACTCCCTGGGCGCTGGGCTCTCCGGCAGCTGGCGTGTGCCAGTCAGGTAGATGCAGCCAGGAAGCGAGGTTAGTGGCTCTGACAGCCAGCGCGGAGGACCGGGAGGAAACACACACACTCCCAGGTCCCAGCTGGCGAGCCTGAGAGAGAGAGAGAGAGAGAGAGAGAGAGAGAGAGAGAGAGAGAGAGAGAGAGAGAGAGAGAGGAGAGAGAGAGAGGCAGGCTTCAGGACACGCAAACGTGGGCGCGTGGAGTCCAGGACACCGCCACCGAGAAGGAGCTCATGTGAGCACACGTTGGACAGGAAGGACACCTGCGTTTCGTGCTTTGGGATTTACATGATCTGATCCGTTGGGCCGGGCCAATGCAAACACAAAGGCGCTGTTGGTTTTGGTTGAGGTAATGCACGGAGCTTTCATAGGTCTTGGTTATTTTCTCCTCTGCCCAAGTTCCCAGATTCTCAAAACTCTGGGATTAGTTTTGGGAGGGATGAGAGAAGAGAACAGGTACATACCCAGGAGGATTAGAGTCAGACAGCAGTTGGGGTGAGACCGTTGATTTTGGAGTTGGCACAGGAACCGGTTTGAAATCCATGAGCCTCCTGCCCAGCTAGCTGCCTGTGTGGGGACGGAGGGACAGAACAAGCCGCCAGGAACACACAGCCCGCTTTCAGAGTAAGCCACGGCCAGTTCCCCAGGTCAGCTTTGAAAAGAGAACTCCTTTAATCGAATCCTTGAGAAGGAATCAGCTTCTAAGAAGTATGTGCCACTCACATGTCTTTCTAGCAGCTGGACCAAAGTCAGTCTACCTGGCGGAGACACCAACTTCCGCAGCCACCCGAGCCCGGGGCTAAAAGCAATGCTTATTCAGCCATAAAGACAAGCAGTTTTAACTCCCTCCGCTTACTTAAATCCAAGTATGTAAAATTGCCTTGGGAGGGGGCTGGTGGGTAGTTTATTTGTTTATTCAGGGACTACTTGTCAGCTTACTGTGAGCTCTTGGAGAGCTCAGGTGAGCAAGGAAAGGAGAAGGGCTAGAAAGAAGGGAGGGCCAGGGCCAGAGCCTGCCCCCTGCCTTTAATGTAAGCTTTGGAGACTCTTAGTTCCCCATGTTGTCACCGCAAACCTGTCTCTTCCCTTCCGGCTTCTTTTGGCCCTCCCTTCGCATCCCCCACCCACCACTGTCCTTCCTGAAGGGGCAATCTCAAAATAGCCAAGGGGAGAATTGAATTTGAGGCTGCCGGACTGTGGGGTGAGGTGTAGGGAATGTGGGGAGGAGGCATTCTATCCAGCGCCATCTTTCCGACAAGTAGTGCCACTGGAAGAGCCGTGCCAAGTTTAAGTGCCCAGGAGGGCGAAGGAATTGCAGCTTCCTGTCCGTGATAAGGCCGGAACTGGCTTGTGGGCATTCAGTGCAGAAGCCTGGGCGCCAGTGACGGTAGCGTATGTGTCAATACGTATGTATTTGTATACATCTCGGGGGCATTCTTTTGTGTACACATATGAGGGCATGAGATTTGAACTGTGGAAAAACTCTCCAGAAAAATTTCCACTGCTCATTTAGAGAGAGAGAGAGAGAGAAAGAGAGAGAGTGAGAGACACCAAGCTTCTCTGAATTTCTGGAGAATAAATTCATTACATGGAAATCAAAACCAGAAGGGTATTTTAATAGGAGTTCCAGCAGAGGGCTGCAGGCATAAAGGGCGCTCAGGATTCTTGGGGCTTTCCTTCAGTGACTCACGTTACATTTCTCTTCAAATAAAATGCTCTCAGATCTCCTTTAAAATTCCTACATTTCATGGCACTTTTTGGGAGGGAGGGGGCAGGAGGGGAAGCACTTTTCGGCGAACACTTCTTATTGTCTTCAGATAAGGATACAAGATCAAGAAGAAAAGGTTCCATATACCCACGTGTACAGGCATTCTATGCTGCAGGTTCAAAAGGAACAATGCCTGCATTTCCCCATTCCCACCCACCGCTGTTCAAATGAACCACTTCAGTGCAGAGGCCTGGTGCCGGTACCTGCAGAACCCACAGATGTGACAGTGTTTGAGAAAATAGCCGCAAGCGCCAACAATAAATGCCAGTCAGCACCTTTGGGCGCTAATGGGCTTCTCCCTCAGTATATCCTGTCCCCCAGCCCCCTCTACCTTTCCCAACCCACACCTGAACTTATGTTTTCTGTGATCTCCCGGCCTTTAGTCCTCTCTGCTCCACGCGCTTTGGCATACCATAGCCAAATTAAGATTTCTAAAATGCTGCTGTGAGCAAGATGCTTTTCTGCTCCGAAACCGGAACTCCTCAATTGGGCATCCAGTGCCCTCCCCAGCCCATTTCCAGGTAGCCTTCCCCAAACTGTCCTGTACTGGAACTCACCCTGCTACTCTAACAGATCTCTTTCCTTTCCCCTGCCCCCCCCCCCCCCCTTTTTTGGCATCTGTACTTTCCTTGAGTTCCTTCCACCAAGAATCCCCTTCTTCATCTCTGTGGATTCAGCCTTCAATTCCTGGCTGATATCTTTTTTCACCTCACAGCCATCTCTGTCCACCGCTTCTGGAAATGATTGCTCCTTCCCTACCTGCTCATCGCATTTCATGTGTCAATGAACACTATTTTGCCTTTTGACATCTCTTATATTGCTGTTTAATTTTTATATGTTTTTCTCTTTCCTTCTCATATGAATTGTAAGCTCAGTGAGAGCCAGGATTGGCCTGTACATTTTCATACGTCTTCTGTTTACGACTAGTTACTTAGTATTGATTAAAATTAAGCTTTGATTTATATATATTGATTGTTCAACCTTATAATATTCTCATATTTATCACTATGGGTAATGACTAAGTGGTTTTGGAGTTATAATCTTCCCTCAGGCTTAGAATTTACAGTACTAACTCATATTCTTATAGCCTACTCAATATCTCTACTAATAAAAGGGTAATATGCTAATTAGACCAGATAGTCCTCTTCTGGACATCCTTCCGGACAAATCTGCCGCGGCTGTGAGGGCCGAGGAGGGCTGGCGGCTGGCAGTGGCAGCAGCAGCAGGGTGATGGGGTGGCACCTTCCCCTGATAGGTCACCTCCAGCAGAGGGCTCCCGGATTGTGAGAGGGGGCAGGCCAGGCTGAGGGAAGAATTTCTGTGTACTAGGCCTCTAATTTTAAAAAATATATATTTTATTGATTTTTTTTTTACAAAGAGGAAGAGATAGGGATAGAGAGTTAGAAACATCGATGAGAAGCATCAATCAACTGCCTCTTGCATACCCCCTACTGGGGACATGCCCACAACCAAGGTACATGCCCTTGACCAGAATCGAACCTGGGACCTTTCAATCTGCAGGCCGATGCTCTATCCACTGAACCAAACAGGTTTCAGCGCCTCTAGTTTTTATATAAGCATTTCAAAATTATTTACAAATGCAAGGTAGGCTCATGAGGGAAACAAATGTATAGCATACCTACTCAGTAATGAATAAAGTAGGGCATAGGAAACAGGTGTTCCAGAGGGGCCAGGCACAACCACATCTGTAGAAACCACACCTGATCTCCACAAATATTCAAGGCAAATGGCCTCTTTTCCCCATTAATCAATTCAATATATGTATAGCTCACATTTGTTTCAATGTTTATGATTAAAAGTATTTTGTGTCTTTATTTAAAAGTTTGGTGATGGGTTTCTGACCAGAAATAGGCTGTAGGAACTTAACTGTTGTTCATATCAATTAGCAGATGATAAAATTGCTTCTTTTTAAGAAATGTTTATCTGTACTATTGAAAAAATCACAGATGTCCCCTTTTAGTCCCCACTGACCCCTCCGCCAATGGTATACGTTTGAAAGCCTTCCTTTATGACACTATATACCCCGGCATTTCTGCCCTGGGAGAATGGCTGAAGACTTGAATCTGGTTCAGTTTCTAGATTAAGTTAAAGGTCTGCACAGCAGTGGGTTACAGACATCCAACCCACCTGTGGTTGTAGGCATGAACTTGGTGAAGACATTTCCATTCTTGAGTTGGCTTGACTAAAAAATGAGATAAAAATAAGGGTTAGCCTACCTGGACACCTGCAGAAAAGTAGGCCAAA